GGCGCGAGGCGACAACCAGTCGCGGAACGTAGCCGCGGTCACGGAATGAACGCTTTGTCTAACAACGGCATGGAGTAATTCCATAGCTCTCCTTAAAAGAAATATTTGTGGCGGCACGTGACAGTAAACATTACAACGGTTTCTGTCCTGTGGCTCGCCACACACAGACCCTATTCTTCGAGCAAGATGATTGCCAGATGTCAATGCATCTCCGCAGTACATGTTCAGCTAGCCTGAGGGCCCGTCATAAATCTTAGGATTTAGTTGACTAAAGTCCTACAAACAAACAGTCTTTGTCCCAGCTACGGGAAGATAGGAGAGACCTATTTTTCAATGAACGACGTCTCCCACTAACAACTTTCCCTCGAGGGCGGCTAGCATCTTTTTCTAACCACCGATATGGAGATTGACCAATTAGCCTTATTCCGCCAAATTCCCTTACTTTCTGAACGAAGGCTATCCTCGATGTATCCGAAGATCTCGTGTCCTCAGACACACCCCATCATAGCTTCCCTCTGCAGCATCATCGCGACGGAGAGTAATTCCCTCGTGAGGTCTTATTAGCGAGTTACTTAATGCCTGTACGCTCGGTGGATATTCCACGTTTTCGCAAAGAGTCCGACTTAGATTTTTGTGAGCACGTACATCTATCATCCCGTTGACCGCGGGTTCGTTATTGAACCTAAGACCATCATCACTAGTATCGCGAGTGTCCAACCGTCGCGATCGATTGTCGAGTCGGTAGTATCCATACTCGTATTAACAGACCGTACCTTCGTTATAACACGACGATGGCCAATTCCAATGAAGATCTATCAAACGCCCACAATCTTATTCCCGACCCTTCCCCGACATATATATGTCGTGTTCGCATTAAAAATAGGGTTAGGGGTGTTTAACGAACTTTTACTAAGATTAGCTATTGTTATTATACAATAGAGGTAATGTTTATTAACACAATCGTAAGTATTACGAAGTTATCAGGTAACCGCGGTGATTAGACACTAATCCAAACGAGATGTATTTGCGAGTAAATGTAGCAGGATACCAATCCTTGAATGACGCGTACCGCCAAGCCGTGAGAGCAACACGGGAATTGAAACAAGGAGGCGACTGGACACGATACCAACGTCGGACACCTCCGAACAATTATAACACTCGTCCTCTGAACAATAACAAAAACATCGGGAACAATCGTCAAGATCGGAGATTTATACCGCCGTTGCAGAATCGTCCAAACGATCCGGGACAAAACTCTATAACGTGTGATTATTGTAAAAAAACCTGGGCATTTGGTAAAAGATTGCTACAGATTTAAAACCAGAATAGACGTTGAGATAATAGTACCTTACAAGTCGGGGCAGTCGGGAAACCAGCCAACTCCTTCGAGAGTGAGGGGCGAACCTCGAAGGAGCGACGCTGTGAATTGCCTATGAGTACAAGCGGCAACGAGAATACCGACACCACAACCTTCAATCATTACAATAAAACCATCGTGCAGTCGTGCATGGGAACGAAGAGAATATCTGGAGAATCGATAATTAAAATAGAAGGAAGTGGACAGAAAAACAACCAACAATGCGCAAGAATCGGATTCTGTTTCGGAAGAAGACCTGTCCGAATTGTTTCGATAAAGATAAACGAAACCCCGAGCACTCCAACCGCAAGAATAGTCTCCCCAGACTTGAAAACTAAAACTAATTTGCTATTAGACTCCGGATCAGAAATAAATATCATTAAAAAACCTGCCTTGCCCGATTCAGCGATCATCAACGAGCAAGAATCAATCGAAGTTCGAGGAATTACGGCAACGAGTCTGGTCACTCTAGGGCAGACAGTAATACAGGTTGCGGGCCATCCAGTTATTTTTCATGTAGTTGATGACTCATTGCTGATCGATCAAGCTCGATCATCGCTCCAAAGCTCGTTTGGATTACGAGCGAAAGCATGTCAAGTGGGGAAATATTTACATTCCCTTCGATACAAGAGAAAAGGTAATCGTGCCGAAACGAAGTTCGGTACCATGTACTATCAACATTACAATTCCGAAGATAAACGAAGGATTTATTCAAAAAATCGAGCCAATTAAGGGAGTCTATTTTGATATTGCAGTTGTGAGGAATCATAAGAGAAGAGGTTATATGAGAATAACAAATACTACACCTACAATGGTAGTTAAAGAACTTGAAAATCTCACCTCGCTCCCTAGCATGACGTGCAATGCGATTTTAAAATCAAAAGAAAGTAGAGTTGACAAAATAATTGAATTATTACGACTCGAACACTTGAACAAAGAGAAGAGAAGAAACGGCGGAAAATTAATTCGGAAGAATCAAGATAGATTTCATATTCCAGAAGACACGCTGAAAGGAACTGAAGTTCTAGAGCATCGAATAATTACAATGCATGATATACCAATTAATATCAAACAGTATCGTTACTCATCTGCACATCGAGAGGAGATAAATCGTCAAGTTCAAGAATTACTGGACACTGATGTCGTAGAACCATCGACATCTCCGTACAATTCTTCGTTATGGATTGTGCCGAAGAAACTAGACTCGCGAAGAAACAAACGTTGGAGATTAGTTATTAATTATAGAAAGCTTAATGATAAAACGATCGGCGGTGTTTATCCGCTCCCCAACATCACAGAAATGTCGGATCAATTAGGAAGTGCGAAATATTTTTTCACGTTTGACTTGGCATCAGGCTTCCGACAGATCCGAATGGCCCAGGAGGATGCCCACAAAACGGCATTTTCAATACCATATGGGCAGTTTCAATTCAAAAGAATGTCCCTTGGATTAAAAAACGCCCCAACAACGTTTCAACCCTTGATGAACTCAGTGCTATCAGAATTGCAAGGAGTAGAACTATTCATCCGTCTGGACGACATAAATCGAGAAGATACATTCAACAATTTTAAAACAGTGTGGCGGATGAAAAGAGAGTTGTGCGTTTCGTCCCGGGACTACCGGTGGACTCGTCCGTAAGGCTATGCCCGGGAGTCCCTGCGCCTTAGACGTAGAGGGAGTCTCGCTAGGTGCGGTATTTGTATCAATCGCTCGTATATTCGACCGCTAGCGAGTTAGACAGACTCGTTGTCGTCGTAGCCCTCTAGTGTTGGCGGTTGGTACCAGCAGATCGCCCGGGAGGTGTTGCGCCGCGTTGATGCCTCGACCTGTCGGCGTCCTGTTGATACCGATCCGCTACAACAGCATTAATCATAAAACCTATTCTACAATATCCGGATTTTTCCAAACCCTTCAACCTCACGTGAGATGCATCGGGATACGCAATAGGCGGAGTATCGAGTCGCTAATCGCGTATACCTCTAGACTACTAAACCTCGCAGAATAAAACTATTCTAGCATAGAAAAGGAATGTCTGGCAATCGTCTACTGTGCGATGCATTTCAAACCACACCTGTATGATAGGAAATTTACTATAGTAACTGACCACAAACCACTAGTATGGATGAATTCCATTAAGGATCCCACATCGGGAATTTGGAAATGGAAACTGACTGAGTTTGATATTCAATACAAGGAATGACGAACAAATGCAAACGCAGATGCATTGTTTGGAAAAGAGAAACGAGATTCGCTAGATCGATATCCACATCTAAACAGATTTCAATTGGATGCCTCGACCGAGAACTCTGAAACAACTCGGCAACGAGGGAAAGACGCAAGACAAACGGTACATGCAGAATTAAAAATTTCGGAAACGCGAGACTCAGTTACGAGAGTGAATGATTATAAAGTGATATTCGTCGATATACAGAGCGCTCCAATAGATAAAGGAGCCTTGGAGATGAAGAAAATAGGAAGGCTACCGCATTACGAAAGACTCATGTTGGAAAGAGCAAGTTTGAATCAAGACTCCGAAAAATACATCGTATCCCTATTGGTAAAGGAAGACCGAAATATTCCTATAAGGCCAGAAAATTTACTAAACTCGTTGAGATATCTACTGGACGTAGTAAATGAAAAACAATTAACGTCCTTTAGCAATAGTAAAGGAAATTCGGAAGAGATACTTTGCGACACACAATCAAGAAATGGAAGGAAGTATTTATGGAAAAATCCATAACTATCACCATCTGCAATGGGGAAATAATCACACCACCAGTTGAAATGCGAAATAATATAATACGAGAAAAACATGAGTCGTTTGTAGCAGGACACAAAGAAGTAACGAAGACTTATCGGAGAATACGACAGCATTATTACTGGGAAAACATGAAGAGGGAAATTCAAGAATATGTAAGAATCTGTAGAGAATGCCATTACATATAGAGTTTGACGTATATTTAGTGGCTATAATTTACGATACTATGACAATGAGACCGTGGCGAGTGTTTCTACTGAAGTATCGGCAGCAGGCGAGAAGCAATTCGAAAAATGTACAAGTAGACCAGTAGAATGCATTATGCTATGTGAAAATTTTGTTGCATGTGGCAAGAATGCATGTTGTTCACGTGAGATTTATAAAAAGAAGCGAGAGAATTTTGTGTAAATAGTTGAAGAAAGGTTGAGAGTCATTTGAGAGTCGAAAGAGAACTTAAGAGAATTTTGAGAGAATTGTGACTATTATTCTGACGCAGCGTCGTTTTTTTTTATTATAACTATACTATATATACATTTTATTATTTTATACATTATCGAGTAAAAGCTTAAGGTCGAGTAAAAATTTAGTTCGAAAATATTTCAACCCCAGCTGTAATATGAACAATTTTTCTGAATCAGATTTAAACGATACAATCCTTTCTGTAATTTAAGCGGTTTCCAATAAGTACCTCGATGTGGCGTAAATATAAAATTGCGAATAAAACAGAAACATGAAAGGGATTTGGACGGATGATTCGAAAAATATTGAATGGAAAACACGTATAAAATTTATTCTCCGTTGATTGTACAAACCGAGTAAATGCATATTATTCTCCAAAATTCCCAGTACGACAGTGTCAATTGGTTACATATATGTTGTTTGCAGTACCAGCAATAAACTGCGTTTCTTTATAAAGCAAGGTCCACGGTCGAATGAAATAAATCTTCGAAAATATTTTTCATCTGTTTGAAATAGCACTCCGAAATTGTATCTGCTTTTCATAATACGGCTGCTGAAGCACAATTTGTTTTTGCATATTTATCAAACCGAAACATCAATGCACGCATACAGATCATGCATCGTGGTTGCATTTTTATCATTTGTCGTAATCGCGCAGTTAACGGCTATCGTCCTATAATATCTGAGATCGTGGATGTAAATAATAAATTATTATTTAACGTAACTCCTCTATTTGTAAAAAAAATATAAGCAGTTTTACATAGAATAATATATTTCACACAAACGTAGAAAAACGAGTTTCAAATTGAATTTTTTCGAATTTGTTTTGCATATTCTATCCTTGTTATAACGTGTTACTAAAACATGTTAAAACAAAAGTTAATTGCCACACATTAATCAAAACTTGAGTGCATGCATGTAGCGATGTTACAATGTATCACATCTATATATATCTGAAATGAATAAGATGTCTGGCAGGACTTTTTGATTAGATAAAGAACTTGGTAAATTTTCTTTACAATCTCCAAATGAATCTCCGGGCCAATTTCTCGCGAATTCGAAAGAAACACTCGCTGCAGAAAAGAAGTACGATAAGTTACAGCCGATGTACATACAAATGAGGTAAATGAGATACAATTTGCAATAACAGCTGTTGCAAGCTTTCAGGTATTTGCGTATCTCACTATAAAAAGGCATTACACAGAAATGATTTGCATATTATATATGAAATAACATTTCATGACGGAACATATAAAATATTAAAATATTAAAAAGGTAAAGAGAAAGATTCTTCGTTCAAATAAAGTTCTGGAAACCTCTCTTGACCGTTTCTCTGTTTCATTTCAAAAATATTACCGGCATAAAGGTTTCCCGATAAAAAGGATCCATGCAAGGGCTGTTTGACCAACTTAAAACGAATGAAATTTTTATTGTAAAGAAAGTTTGCCAAAGATCGAAATAAATGTCGAGAGAATATAGTTGCCGAAGCCTCGTATCCTTGTTCCTTTTGTTCCCTGTTCGATGTTGACTGCAGCAGAATATCGCAATAGCCGTTGATTGTTCGACCAATCGCGGGGAGACGCAGTCGCTAAGAGAGACGTCAACGGGGGTCGTAAATCCCCGTTACGATTATAACAATCGACACCACGAATTGATCGATCCCCTGATTTCCGTTG